CATCCCACACACCCACCCCACCCCCCACTACAAAACGTAAAATATTTTTGATCTCGTCTCTCTAGTGTCTAGTGCACTCTTCTCTCACAAACCGCCTTCGAGGCGACGCTCATATAATTATTGTTGCGCTAAATCTTCTGTTGGGGCAGCCTACGAGGTGGCGTTCATAGAGCTAGCGCGTGCAGCGGCGATGATGGAGAAAATCGCCGCTGCGAGATTCATCAATATACGACGTTGTTGGTTTGTTGGTATGCCACTCCTGAACTGAAGTCTTAGATGGGGTCGCTACGTAGCAACATAGATTCATCAATGGATGGCGTCGCTAGTTTGGTTGGTATGTCGCAATCTTGTTTGTTGGTATGCTGAGATCTGTTGTTCATCCTCTCGTCGCTGCACAAAGCGATCTGGTGCTCGCATCGCTGCGAGTGATCTGTGACCACGATGTGGTGTTTGTGGTTTGCGGTGGTGCCGTGGTGATGGTTTTTGTTGAGCTTGTTAGTTTTTTGGAGTAGTGGTGGTTTCATGTCTTGGTGTTGGGGTGGTTTTTGTTGACGGTGGCAATGGCAATGTTGTTGTCGGTGGTGGTGTTGTTGTTGATGTTGTTGGTGGTGGCAGGGGCGACGATAACAGTGGGATGAAGAATGTTTGTGACCAACTATTTAGATATCTATGATCAAGTATTGGTGGTGGATCGGGGTGGGTGGGGTGTTAGGGTGCATGTGACCAATTATTTAATTGTAACCTAACAATTTGATAATTTGTGACCGAAAAATAATTTGTAACCAATTAATTTGAAAATCTGTAATCGACGAATAAACTGTGATCTATAATTTTTTAAATTTGTGATTGATGAAAATAAATTATGACTTATGAAATTTTTGATTTGTGACCGTGAAATAAAATATGACCAATTATTGATAATACGTGACTAATAAATAAGTTGTAACTTATAAGTACGTACATTGACAATTAATTTTATAATTGTGATTTTAATATATTTAATTATTTATTTATCACATAATTTTTGAATTTTGAAACTTAAAACCCGATAATTGAATTTGCCTATAGTTAATACCCGAGTTATGAATTTTTCCCTTTTATAATTGTATATGTTCAATATGTAATATTTTAATTATTAAATTATTTTTAGATTGATAAAAAATTTAAAATAAGAAAATATTTGTTTACCCTGGTTTATGCCTAGATTTGCCTAGCTCGAAATTTGGCCTCCATACCTCGTCACACTTTACTCTTTTTAGAACACTATCAAAAAGTATTATGACACCCCCAAAATGCTTATATATAGTGGACTAGTCAGATGCACGTGCAATGCACGTGCTATCGGTGTAGTTGGGTACTTAATAACGTGGTTGTAAAAACTTAATGAAACAAATATCAATGAAGCACCGGAAGACAAATTTCATCATCTATGTATAAGTGAAACGGTATTGTAGTTAAAACCTTATTTTTTTTAATCAAAAGGTATCATGTTTATGATGCATGCAAACAGAAAAAATCATGGAATACTTTCGGAAGATATTGCTTCATGAAATAAAGTTCGTCGCATATGACATGAATGTTTATTATGCAGTATAACAATTGGGTATTCAAACATGTAAATTAATAGATAGTTTTGTCAAATAAGTGATCTCAACT